TCTAGGAACTAAACGAATCGAACAAAATAAAAAAATTAGACATAATCCTCCTAAAATCATCTATAGCAATGCCAACGTAAGATCTAAGAACGATCGACGTAGTTTTTAAATTGTGTTAAAGTGTGAAACAATCTGTGTGAAATACAACTGAAATAAGATCACAATCTTTATGACAAGACTTCTTTGTAAACTAATGATGTAAGACTTTCCCGTATAATATATATTATATATTATGGGTCTTACTTATGTGGTGCAAGTGGAATATGCCCATTAAGTAATTGGTTGGGTTAGACCTTTAGGTTTAAGTCTGTATTTAACCAGTGTGCCTATATAAAGCTTGTATTGATGGGATACAAGATACATGAATATTATATGGTACTCATACTGCTCAGAAAATATCAATACGGGTTCTGAGTCAAGTATGAGACAAAACGGCTAACCCTATTCTGTAGATCTACCGTTCAAGAGGCAACACAACAGGATATCAACCATGGCTGGAGATCTACCGTACTTCTGCTTCCGCTACTACGAGTTAAGTTTCTTGTAGATTATTCTCTGTATAGTTAGGTCATATTTAAATCTCAGAAATGATTCCACCAATAATAGGTTTGAGCATGGGGCAATACCCCATTCTTGGCTGCATTTCGGCACCGTCCAGAATCATCGCCTGGTCCGAGAAAGCTGATGTGGTGGACAAATCAAATTAAAGACAAATCATGGCTTACTCCTAAAATATTCAAAACAAGAAAAACACTTTTAAATACGGAGTAATAAAAATCATGACTTGAATATTCACTAATTGTCAAGAATCTAATTACTACATTAACGGTTGATATTGGCGAACTAATAAAAAAAATAAATTTGTTTCACTTAACTTGTACAACACTACTAAAAAATATTACGTGTCGAACATGTCATTGTCGTCCTCTAAAAAATTAAATATTATTTACATGGATAACTCAATTGATTCATTGAATTCTTACAATTGTACGTAATATGATGGTTATATTCAATGTGATAGGTAGGTTGCTTTCGTCTTTTAATTTGTAAGCAAGAAATTGACTCTTCAATTTTTGTGAACGTGGGACCACGACTCTCTAAAAACATGCACAAGTTTGACCCTGAATTCATGACTTGAACTTTTTAAGCCAATCTTCTCCCAACTCTCCTACTATACTACTCCAAACAATTTCAAATTAAAAGACAAATCATGGCTTATTACTAAAATCTTCAAAACATGAAAAACACTTCCAAATAATAAAACAATTTTTGTTTGAGGTTGCACTATGCATGCATGCGAAGATTTAAACACATGACTTTAAAAATGTGGTTAATTCTAATATCAAATTGAAACATGTACTTTATATCAATTAAAAGTTTAAGCTGATAGTTGGAGTGCACATTTATAATTATATGTTATATGCTCAACAATTGTATCCAAAATTATATATTATTTCAGCATCTAGTATACGTATATGTCGTTGTTCTCCTAATCTCCTAACATGCATAAATATAAATTCAAAATAAGTTTAAGCCAAAATAATGAGAATTAAAGAATTGAAGAAGGGTGTGACTGATGGTTACAAGCTAGATTATAATATTAGATGAGCTAGGATTATATTACATGAAGATGACACTATTCTACATTTAAATTACATGAAGATGACACTATTCTACATTTAAAGTGTGTTTGGTTCATGGGTTTACACATTAAGAATGAAAATCAAAATCATAGTTAGTATTTGGTGGATCGTTATGCTGTGGAAAGGTAGGCACAGTTCCAAACGACGTCGTTTTCATGTGGTTGCATTGATTAACAGTGTCGTTAGTGGTACCGTTATCCTTCATAATTTCTATACTGTAGATTCATAAAATCTATACTGTAGATTCATAATTTCTAAACTGTAGATTCATAATTTCTATACCGTAGATTCATAATTTCTATACAGTAGATTCATAATTTCTATACTACAGATTCATAATATCTGTACTGTAGATTCATAATTTCTAAACTATATAGTTATCAAATTATGAACATATAGTTCTGTGATTTGTGAATACAAAGTTCAACAATTGGGAATATGAACATCGAAAATTATGAACATATAGTTCTATAATTATGAACATATATTTATAAAATTATGAACATATAGCTCTATCACATGTTCACAAATCTAATACTGTAGATTCATAATTTTTATAATGTACATTCATAAAATTTAAATTTTAAATACAATAGATTTATAATTTCTAAACTGTGCGATTGCGAAGAGAGAAATGCCGTTAACGGCAAGTGAAAACAACTTTTTTAAAAAAAAAAAAAAAATTAGAACGGCGTCGTTTTCAACGTTGAAAACGACACCGTTGTAAGGTGGGCACAGTTCCACAACATAATTTACCGTGTTTGGTTGACAATTTTTTTAAATACAACTATGGAATTTGATTACCTATTCAATTAAAAATCTCATTCTCTAACTAATTAAAAATGGGTATCATTCTATCTTATTGGTAATATATGATTTTAAGTTTGGATTATTGCTTTTAGATTTTTGTTCAGATATTTTTTTTGTTCATATTGGTGCTTTGGATGTCATTATATTAAGACCAATTGCCTTAATTTTTTATTTTTAAAACCTTTATTCTCATTATTAGGTCATACATAACAAACACATCAATATTGCTAATTATTTCAATTCCACCCTACTAACAAACATGCAAAATACTTTCACCAAAACTCATTACTATTACCAAATATTTGATCTCCATTCTTATTCTGATTCCCTTTGTGCAAACCAAATAGACCCCTAAAATTTAAACCCTAACAGCACGTTTGGTTCACGGAATGAATTTTGAGGTAATAGGAATGCTATTCCATAAGGAATGAAATAGACAAGGAATAAAATATGAATTGTATTCTATTGTTTGGTTCGCAGAAGGAATAGACTTTAGGAATTATATTACAGTGTTTGGTTGATTTAAGGAATAGAAATGCAATATGTTTTAAAAGACATAAATACCCTTATAAAAATATGTGATGGTGGCGATGGTGGTGGTGGTGGTGGCGGTAGTGGTGGCGGTGGTGGTGATGGTGGTGGTGGTGGTGCTAGGGTGGTAGTGGTGGTGGTGGCGGTGGCAGTGGTGGGGGCGACGGTGGTGGTGGTGACAGTGACGGTTGTGGCAGTGGTGGTGGGGGCGGCGACGGTTGTGGCGGTGGTGGCGGCGGCGGCGGCGGTGGTGATGGTGGTGGTGGCGGTGGCGGTGGTGGTGCTGGGGTGGTAGTGGTGGTGGCGGCGGTGGCAGTGGTGGTGGGGGCGGTGACTGTTGTGGCGATGGTGGTAGTGGTGGCGGCGGCGACGACGACGGTGATGGCGACGACGGTGGTGAAATAGGATAAATTTATATATAGGATAAAAAAATTAGGTTAAAGAAAAGGGTAAAAAAGAAAATAGATTCTAAAACCAGGGGGGCCCTAGCTATTACCAAGAATAAATAGAAATGGTTACCAAACAAAGGAATATGCCTATTACGGGGAATGCTGTATTTCGTGAACCAAATGGGTCATAAGTGTAATCTTTCCCTGTTCGCACTGGGCCGGCCTGTGCTAGTTAGATTAGTTTTCTCGTACGAGAAGAGGTTCAAACTTTCGACCTCTTTTAAGAGACAAGAGTGCACTACCACTCACACCAAACGAATTGGTTTTGTATAATTTAATTAACTGATAAGTTAATTCGGTTAAGAGATACTTTAACCTAAATTAATTAATAATTGAAACTTTTTAAAATTATTAACCATTAATCAAATTAAAATATTTCAATAAAAAATGGTTAGAGAAAATTTAAAGATTTGATTGGTTAGTCCATTTTTTTACTTAAATATTACACACTCCAAGAAATATAATACAATAGAAAATTGTTTCATCCAAATAAAAAGAAAAAAATCTTCAGTTTTTGTGGACCGTACGCGTGTGCCACGACTATAGGACCATATGCATACACTACTCAGCACAGGGCTGACCCTGCATTGTGCTGACTCACTCCTGAAGGCAACTTTATACCAAGTCTCTCTTTTCTGCTAACAACAACAATAATGTGTAGATGTCCTAAATCCTTTCAAAAAATTGGATCAATTAGGCATCGACCCGATCGAGTTGATCTAGTTGGCCAACCGTCTAAAAGGCGCTTAGCATTTAGGCGGTCGCTTAGACCGGCTTTTACAACAATGAAAATAAGAAAAACACTTTCAAATAATAAAAATCATGACTTGAATATTAACTAATTGTCAAAAATCTAATTACTATTGATATTGGTCAACTAATAAAAAATAAATTTGTTTCACTTAATTTGTACGACACTACAAAATATTACGTGTCGAACATGCCATTGTCGTCCTCTATTTATAGTCTAGTTTGTTTGGCTAATTTGGCTTCATCTGATTGTGGTTAGTTTGGCTTCCTCATTATTATGGAAAACTCTGATTACTAATATTGATTAATGAAATATGATACAGTAAGAAATTAAGTATATATTGTTTGTATGGACAACTCAGTTGATTCATCGAATTTTGACAATTATAATATGATACATGGTTACATCTAATGTAATAGGCGAGTCACTTTTATCTTTTGTAAGCAAGAAATTGACTCTTCAATTTTTATGAACACGGTACCAACTCTAGAAACATGCACAAGTTTGACATTGCATTAATGACTTGAACTTTTGAAGCCAATCTTACCCCAACTCCCCCACTACTCCAAACAATTTCAAATTAAAAAACAAATCATGGCGTAATACTAATTAAAATATTCAAAACAATAAAAACACTTCCAAATTAAATAATAAAACAATTTTGAATGAGGTGGCACTATGCATGCGCATCCTGGGCTTATTATAATTGAAGCATCTTAACTAAAAGTCTAAGCTAATTATAATAATAATAATAATAATAATAATAATAATAAAAAAAGTCACTATTTAAATGGGTGTGGATCGGAAATTCTTGGTTCTATATATTATTAGTTGTAGTTAGTTCATGAAATCCGATACCTAATAGCAAAAATGGTTTCCCAAATATCAGCACTATTCATCACTTTCGTTCTTCTATTTTTCCTGAGAAAAATGTATGTGATAAAGATGAGAGGAAGATCTGCAGAAAGTAAGAAACTTCCTCCGGGTCCGAAGAAGCTACCTATCATAGGGAACCTTCACCAGCTCGCCGGAAAATCGCTTCATCACTCTCTCCATCAACTTTCCGAGCAACATGGAGAAATCATGTCGCTGCAACTCGGCTCCGTGCCAACCCTAGTGATTTCGTCGGCGGACGCCGCCGGAGAGATCTTCAGAGATCACGATCTCGTCTTCTCCGGCCGCCCGGCGCTGTACGCCGCCAGAAAACTCAGCTTCAATTGCTCCTCCCCGTCGTTCGCGCCGTACGGCGAGTACTGGCGGGAGGTTCGGAAGATTCTGGTGATGGAGTTGCTGAGCGCGAAGAGAGTGCAGGATTTCGCGGCGGTTCGCGACGCCGAGGTAAGTCGTATGATTCATCGGATCACTGCATTTTCCGCGACATTAGTTGACCTAAGCTCGCTCGCACTGTCGCTGTCGAACAACGTTGTTCGGCGCGTGGCTTTTGGGAACAAAGGCGGCGGCGATGGAGACGATGATGAGACGATGAAGTTTAATGAAATTCTTCACCGGGCGCAACATCTGTTGGGGGAACCTAATTTAGCGGATGTGTTTCCGAGATTGAGTTGGATCAACAAGGTTAATGGATTGGATGCGAGGCTGGAGAAGACATTCAAGGATATTGACAGCTTTTTTAACAAAGTTATGGAGGAACACGATGAACATAGCCGCCGGCATAAACATGAAGAAGACGAAGAAGACATTGTTCACACGCTTCTCCGAATCCAAAAGGATCCAAATCAGAGTTCTATTCCCCTCACCAACCAGCACATTAAGGGCGTTCTTGTGGTAAGTTTCTTTTTTCTCCATGATTAATTGTCATTATGGATTTAGAAAGGTAAAAAAAAAAAAAAAAAAAAAAGGTAGAATGTATGAATATTTGTAGTGTTACTCATCCCGAAAAGCAGATAATGTTTAAGCATTTGGGAGGATATAAATCATGGTGACTTAACTGAATATGAACCATAGAGGTTAGATCGGTGCTCAAGGAGCTCATCTCACTTTGAAAGGATGACTCAACTGAACATGAACCATAGAGGCTAGACCGGTGCTCAAGGAGCCCCCCTCACTTTAAGAGATTGCTCCCACACTGTCGCTGGTGAGACTCGATCTCTGGTCATTCTTCCAAAGTTTCACCTCTATGGTCATTTGAGCTACCCATGCCGGCGTTCAGTAGATAATATTTGAGAAAAGAGATCATGATTCGAACTTTAATGTGAAATTATGGACAGATCCCTTGTGTGCATTGCCATTTAACTCTGTCACTAAGATTCAATCTTTCCGGGGGGGGGGGGGGGGTGGGGGGGAAGAAGATAATATTTAGTCGTAATTTCTTCTTGAGAAGAGAAGAAAAGTAATTGAAAAGTGGGAGCCGGCGGCTTTGAGGCGCAATAGTAAATGGGCCTATTTGACACTTGGACCTATTTAATTTACTCATAATTTGTCGTCTTTATTGAGTACTGCAACACGTCGTATCTCATTGAACTGTACTGTCTACTGTGTTTAATTTGTCGTAAGCTGAAAATAATGCAGTTGCAAATGCGTCATTGACTGCTATTTTATTTTGACAATGGCAATTAACAGTTACAATGGGGTGGGACCGTGGGAGTATATTACCGGAAAAATACTTGGTGTATTCCCATTTTAAACTCCCAACTTGTATTCTCTCTCTCACATGCTTTTGATGTAGACATTTTTCTATGGACCCACAAGATGAAAATAACCAATCCTGATTTGCCACCTGAGGGAGTATAATTTTAGGAGTCTATGTAGTAGAACTCATGTTACCGTTACAATTGACATTATATTCTAATCATATTTTGTAAGAAAAAAATTATAATTTATACCCATAAGGTATAAACTAATTAAGCTATACAAATATTGCATTTCTACAATTCAGGGACAATATTTATACTACTTAAAATTAAAAAGTAACATTCATAATTGGTAATATACTTAGCTTGAGAAACATAAATTACAATTCTTTTTTTTATAAAAGATTATAATATCATTTTACTGGTTTGAAATTAAATTATTTAAAAATTTTAAAAATATTGGAGCTCTGGTTCTTAGTAGTATATATTTACAAATTTCAAATGGAGATTTTTTTTTCTTAGACCCAAAACATGCTATTTCTCCATCATATTTCTAGCTACTTTATCTACTGTAGTAATATATTTCTCTATTAATTTAATTTAGTGTTTAGATATTTATTTACCTAAATTAATTTTGCAATGGCGCAGGATGTTTTTATAGCGGGAAGTGATACATCGGCGGCAACAATAGTATGGACAATGGCGGAGCTTATCAAGAACCCATACGCCATGAGGAAAGCTCAATTGGAAGTCAGGCAACTCATGAATGGAAAAGAGAAAGTCAGCGAGAGTGATCTTCCCCAACTGAACTACTTGAAAATGGTGATCAAAGAAGCCTTGAGATTCCACCCTCCGGCGCCGTTACTGGTCCCCCGGGAAACCACAGACAAGTGCACCGTCGGCGGCTACCATATTCCGGCGAAGACCCGTGTTTTCATCAACGCCGTGGCCATCGGGAGGGACCGGAGAGCGTGGGAAAAGCCCGGGGAGTTCTGGCCGGAGAGATTCTGGGAGAGCGAGGTTGATTACAGAGGCAATCACTACGAGCTGATACCGTTCGGAGCAGGGCGGCGGGGGTGTCCCGGGATGAACTTCGCCACGCCGCTGGTGGAGCTGGCGGTGGCGAATCTTCTGTTTAGGTTTGAGTGGAGGCTTCCGGCGGGGATGGGTGTTGAGGATATTGATATGGATGAAGCGTTGGGTATCACAATGCATAAGAAAACTCCACTTTGTTTAGTCGCTTCCATCTTGCCTTAACTCAATAGTTCAAGAATTATTTTAGAAATCTTGTCTCACGGACTTTTAAATATTTTAAGATTGTAGAAATAAATATTGAACAAATAGGGTGGCAAATCATGCATCATTGTCTTGGTTAGGTTGGATCTAGTAATTATATCTTTTCTTTTTAATCCTTGGTCCAAATCTTTTGACTATTTATGCAGATGGTCAGTGTTATCGATCATTTTTCTAAGGCCGCGACAAATCAATAAATTTTTGCAGTTCATGAACACTGTTGCGCCAAATATGGCAAAACATTGTTCATCCATACCATTATAGTGTAGAGTTTTTATTCATATTTTGTCCATGCTTTTTTTTTTTTGTTAATTCGTTTTATATTTTTTATTTTATTTGGAGGTTTAATATATTTACTTTGTTAAATATTTATACACAAGTGATATATTATTAAACATAAATTATATTATTTGAAAGATTTTTATCAAGACTAATAATATTCAATGTATATTAATTAAAATTTAAATGACCTAAATCATAATTTGAACAAAATTAAATTGTATTAAAATATTATTATTTATATCACAAGTTATATTTTATATTAAACTAATTAAATTTGAATTAATAAATTTTTAAATTTTAAAAAAGAAAATTATTTTAATATAGAATTACATTTGGTGTAATGGGTTGGAGATGAATAAACTTTATTGTAAAAATATTTCTTGTGATGTTATATTTGGTATAAATTTGAGTGTTACTATTTACACCACCCTTTGGTCAAAAAAGGGTATATAATACATTAGAATTGTAAAAAGGTAAAAATTTTCAATAATTATATAGGTTGTGTAAATAGCCAAATATGTGGTCAAATTGCTATTTACACCACCTTAGTCAAATCTTATTTATTAGATATAAGTAATAATTTTTTAATTCATAATTTAATTAATTAAAACATTAAAAAAAAAAAAAAGAACCAGAGCCTTCTTCAGATAGAAGGCATGCCCATCTTTGATGAGAAGGTGATGGGCATGCCTTTTCACCGGAGAAGGCGAGGGGTTTTTTTTTTTATTTTTTTTATTTTTTAATAATAATTAATAGTTTGGTTATTAAATAAAAATAAATAATTAACATTTAATGTTTGATTATATTTAAGGTGATACATTTTTTAATTTACACCCCTATAAAATTATTACTTTTATTAAATGAGTGATGTAAATAGTAAATAGAGTGGTGCAAATAGAATTACTAATAAATTTTAGTGTTTTGGGTTGAAAATGATGTGAAGTAATTGAGAAATGTAAAAAAATCAACCTTTGGTCACTTATTTCGGTGCTCAGAACTTTTTGATATTAAATTTCATATTTCAAGTGGGTCCACGGCAAATCATCGGATCCCTCTACTTTGCTTTTTGAAATTTTGAATATTTCTTTATTTATTGTCCCTTGCTCCTACTTTGCATCCCTTAAAAAATTAATGGCCCTTTCAATTTATTTGACTATTATTAATTGTTTGACTTGATTAAACAATGAATGAATATTTGATTAATTAAATTTTTGTAATTAACTTATTGTTTCAAAAAGTTACTCAATTAACAACTAATTTATCAAATATTTTTCTACAATCATCTAATACTATCAAATAGTTAAACACACTAATTTAATCAGCTAACAACCATTTACCAAACATCCCTAATATTTTTTTGCTTCATTTTTTCTTGAGTCGAGTAGAAACAATTTAGTGGTTAAAGTATTAGTTAAAGAATTCATTTTTTTATACCCAAAATTCTCTGTTTTCAATTATTAATATTACTAGCTAATAATTGATCAACAAATTAAAGTAAATTAAAAGTAATATTGTTGGAAATATAAGTATGATAAAAAGATTAGGTAGAAATTATGAGCTCTATTGATTGATAACATATATAATTTGTTTCAATACATTTCAATCTCCCTCAGCTCTCACAATTTCAATACCCAACCCAAACGTAACATATCAGAATGAAAGACACAAACATCAGATAATTAAGAGGCACCAGACACTGCACCACACAATTCCAAGAATTGCACCTGTCCAGTACACTCCACCTTATTATATTATTATTAAACTCACACACGACAACATAGTTATTAGTTTGTTTGGTCAACAGTTGCAAGGGTTGCATTTGCAGTTATCTCCGCACTTGCATGCATGTCCTCCCTCTGTTGCCTTCTCAGCTCCTCCCTCAAAGCTGCTGCAAATTTTAATTTTGTATAAATAAACAACACATCATTATATTTCTTCATCAATAAACTTAATTGCCAGTTTTAATTTCCTATTTTTCTTCCCAGATTTCACACTTCTTATGCCAAAACATAACAGCACTTAAAGGCAATGGTTAAAGAGAAATTGACTTCTTACTTCTTCATTGGTGCAACGCCCTGGATGAGGCTGCTCACACTGCTGGGCTTCTCAACATCAGCGTCAATCCCAAATCTGTCATGATCATGCATGAAAAAAACATCCTTAAACATAGTAATATATATATATATATATATATATATATATATATATATATATATATATATATATATATATATATATATATATATATATATTTTTTTTTTTTTTTTTTTTGAATGATCAGAAAAATCGCAGCCAAGTGTGTACTGGGTAATCCAAGGAGGCAAAGTGTTACAAAAGAGATAAATTAAACTAGCTTAATTTGTCTATAACTGGTTAGCTTAAGACCAATAGGTCGCTCCAGTTGAAAGTGGTCAAATTAACTTTAACTGATTAGTTCAGTTAAAACTAATAAATCGTTCTCGTTGAAAATTAAACTTGTAAAAATAAGTGTGGATCGGAGGATGAGAAACTTACCCTCGACAATTGCAGCTGCTGCCGCACGAGCAGCTAGAGCCGCAGTTACATTTTCCGCTGGAGCAAGACATGGTTTGTACGAAAGTTGAAGTAGAAGATTGGGGTTTTGCAGTGGATAAATGTTTGATTGAATATAATGTTGTATTGGCTTGTGTATGTTGAGTTCATTGATACAATATTGGCCCCTATTTATAGTGCAAGGGATGAGAAAAAGAGTGATCATGCACCCTACACGTGTCATTATCTCCAGGAATCAGCATATTTTTTTTAAAATTTATATCTTCCCATTATTATATCATCAATAATACAGATCGATAATAATGAAGAAGGAGATGAATTATTGAAGCTAGCTTTAATTCCAAATTCCAAGGCTCAAAAGATTCTATTTTTGCCTCAGCTTCAAGACTTTCTTAAAATAAATTAATAAAGTTCTCACTCTTTCCAAAAGGATGATCCCAACCCGGTAGAGCATCTGAGAGGATGTAAATCATGGTAACTCAACTGAACAATACTGTCGTTGGTGAGACTCGACCACTGGTCATTCTTTCCAACTTTCACCTATGACCAGTTGAGTTGCCCATGCAGACATTAATAAAGTTCTCACGATCTACGTACCAACAGATTGAGAGAGAAAAATTAAATATTATTTTCTGTTAATGCAATATATATATATATATATATATATATATATATATATATATATATATAGAGGTTTGGTTGGTGCATCCAGATGCGGTTGTGCATCCAGAGCCATTGATCTTGTTTAAATCAACGTTCAGAATTGCCAATTTATTTTTAAATGCGGTAACAATTTAATAATTTTTACATCTAGAACAAATTTAAAGTGCGTGGATTTTGTGCTTAAGGTGCTTGGGTTGTGTGTTTAATGCGAGTAGTTGTTGAACACAACCCGCAACTACGTACTACTTTAATGCGTGCCTTAAGTGAAACTTGCTAGCTATAACCCGTCTTGTGACCTAATTAGTTAAGGATCACAAAGTCAAGGAGGTAAATAATTATAGATTGTGAGTAGCTAACTAGCTCAAACTAAGAATAATACCTGCCAATAAGATCAACTTCATTATACATACTTGGAGTTCCAATTAAAAATCAACTACTAACTCCTTAGAATAATAGGTTTCTTGTTGTAGTGAAAGTCAAAGAAATTAATTTCTTGTACAAGATGACTAAGCATTCTTCATTCTGTTTATTTTGGAGGATTATAGACGAAACGCGTAATGTAACGTCACAAGAAACAGCTAGCAAAAATAATGCTGGATAATATAATTTACTAAGTCAAATCTATCTCCAAAAAATGAGAGGTCACATGTTTAATTTTAGTGTAAGTATGGACTCTTTGTACTTCAATAAGTTAAGAAAGTATGTATAAACATATATTATATTGTAATAAAGTCAACACTACTCAAAAAAATCAAATCAATCTACCGTTTTTTATATTTAGTTTTGTATATAATAATAATAATAATTGTGAATGATTATTATTAAATGGGGGTGGTTTTGTACATCATTCTTCCAAAAGGTTGAACCACAACCCGATAGAGCATGCATTTGGGAGGGTGTAAATCATGGTAACTCAGCAGAACATGAACCACAGAGGGTAGACCTTTACTTATTGCGCACAAGGAGCCCACCTCACTGCCGCTGGTGAGACTCAATCCTTGGTCATTCTCTCAACTTTTCACCTCTATCACCAATTGAGTTGCACATCCGGGTTAGTTTTGTACATCATCAAATGTGGGCTAGAAGTGTCCACGGTTTGATTCTGGTTCAGAATTGCCCGTTCGCGGTTCCAAAATAGTCGAAATCGGAACCTTATTTAGACAGTTCCTGTTTGATTCCGGAACCGGCGGTTCCGATTAGAACCACCAGTTCTAACCAGACTTCTTTCTTTATTATTATTATTATTATTATTATTATTATTATTATTATTATTGTTATTATTACTATTATTATTATTATGTTACCCCTTATTTAGTGTTATATATATATATATATATATATATATATATATATATATATATATATATATATATATATATATATATATATATATAGTATGCGGTTCCAAATCGGAACCGTTCGGTTCTGAACCGGAACTGACGATTCTGATTTTTTAAAACAACTAACCGGAATTGGAACCGAAATTTTAGAGTTTCGATTTTTTAACCGGAACTGAAATTGTACTTACAGTTCTGATTTTAGTTCAATTGAAATAGTAACCAGTTTGGTTTGAACTGGGCGATTTGAACTGAACCGTGGTCATGCCTAATGTCGGGACAGAAAAGAAGTGATTTTGATGGGAAGAGCAAATGATTTAGAGCACAAAGTTGACATTTGATCCCATTGAGAGAGCTTTGATTATAGTTTCAATATTTTTTGGGCAACTTGTATACGCTAAAAGGTTCCACCACCTTAAAAAGTTTCACTTTTCTTATCTTCAATCCCTTCATGTTTTTCCCAACATCACCCGCATGGACAGCTCAACTGGTCACAGAGATGAAACTTTGAAAGAATGACCAAGGATCAAGTCTCACCAGTAGCAGTGTGGGAGCTACCTCTCAAAGTGAAGGGAATTTGTTCCGGATCGGAGTGTGGGGCCCTTAGGGTTGGGGTTCAGCTTTTTGGAAGAATGTTTTCCCCAACATCCAAAGTGGGCACTGGGCAGGTAATAGATTCCTTGCAATATTATATACTATGGAAGAATGTTTTTCCCAACATCCAAGGGCAGGTAATAGATTCCTTGCAATATTATATACTACGTATAAAATAAGGAAAATGGCAATTTTTCTCCTGAATTATAGGCTAATTAGGCTTATAATATTTTTTTCTCCCTGAATTATTCATGTATTTATATTTGTTATTTTAATAATTTTATAAATGACAATTTTTCTTCCTTTGATGTTAAATGGATATTTTTATCTTTAAAATAATTATTTCATTTATTTTTTTTCTAATAAATTATTACTTATATGTAGAGATGACCACGGTTCAATTTGTACCGAATCGAATACTATAGCAACCGAACTGAAACAGTAGGGACGGTTTTTGTTACGATTTAGAACTGGGAAAAAAATAAAATAATTATTTAATTTAAACTATTTTTAAAATAGAAAATAGAAGTTACAAAAATAAAATAAATAAATTTTGAATCGACGTTTCAACACGAAATTGGAATCAGAATAAATGCGAACCGAAAATCTGTTGTCTAAATCAATGTTCAGGTTTAATAGTGATCAAAAAAGCACGTGGTGACAATTTGGTCTTTTTTACATTTAGGTCAAATTTAAGGTGTGATTTTCCTTCTTATGGTGCGTGATTTTTGTGTTTAAGGTGAGTGCTTTTTGTACTGTGTGACTTAGTGCATCAGGTATTGAAAACTTAAGTGCATCGATCTAAAACTTTAGATACGTGGTTTTCCTTCTTAAGCTGCGTTTATAATTGACATATACTTGAGAAACATAAATTACAATTTTTTTTCATAAAAGATTATAATGTCACTTTTATTGGTTTGAAATTAAATTATTTTAAAATTTTAAAAATATTGGAGCTCTGGTTCTTAGTATTATATATTTACAATTTTCGAATTGAGATTTTTTTTTTTCTTGACCCAAAACAAGCTATTTGTCCATCATATTTCTAGCTACTTTATCTATTGTAGTAATATATTTCTCTATTAATTTAATTTAGTCTCTGTTTTTTTTTTTTTTTTTTTTTCAAAAACTGTAAAACTTTATTTCATCGTCAAAAGAGGCACAAGGCCTTTACAAGATACGCCATAGGCCCGAAAGTGATCTATGGCTCACAAGGCATAAAGCCTAACAAAACTCAAGGACCAAAATGGTCTAAAAACATCACAAGGATCAAAGCCTCCCAACCATCAGGCCCATTCGGCCAAAAGAGCCCAAGCCTTTCTCCCATGGCCCCAAAAGAAAAGATCCAGCACAGCCTCCCAAAGACCCTCCCAAGACCACAGCCTTCGTAGACCAAGAGGTCCACCAAATATGGTGGACCCTTCCTTATTCCTCCCTTTTACAAACTGTTTCTGCTAGATCAAATTATTAAAATGGCATGAGCTATCACTTTCCATCATCAAGAACAAGCCAACACACCATACTGCTTTTCATTCTGCAGGTTCAAAATCATCATCATCTCTGCTTCATCTCTGCTTTTCAGCTTCTGCAACTCAACTATTGCTTCATTGGTAAAATAGTTAACCTATTATGGACTGTTTGGTTGGATGTAATTGCAATTCAATTACAATATAATTCTTTGGTCGTCCGAATTACCGTGTTTGGTTTGAGGGAATTGCAATACCTTCATTTTTTTGAATTGCAATTCATACCATCCCCCATATGAATTGCAATTCAATGGGGAAAGGAAAAGGAAAAGGGTAGAAAAAGATTTTTTTTTTACCCGTGATTATTATTAGTATTATTATTACACAAGGACATTTTAGTCTTTATATTACTTCTTTCCTTCTCATTCCCCGTAATTCTATTCATTCCTACCAAACAATGTAATTTGAACTCATTCTTTATTCATTTATCACCGAATTATTATTCATTTCCTCCATAATTCCTTCCTTCCAACCAAACGTCTGTCAGCCAATTTTGAATTATTTGACCAATATTAACTGTTTGACTTGGTTGAACAATCAATATGATTGTTTGATTAATTAGCTTTTTGTAACAATTTATTGCTCCAAAATGCTAAAATTCAAAAAGCTGCTTAAAGTAATTTTTTCGATCAACTGTTTGAGAAAGTCACTTTATATGTAATCAACTAACAACTAGCAACTAATTTACCAAATACTTTTCTACAATTTGCTAATACTATCAGCGAGTCAAACCCACTAACACAATCATCTAACAAACATCCCCCATTAGATATTTATTTACCTAAGTTAATTTTGCAATATATTCAACTTGCGCGCAGAATGTTTTTATAGTGGGAAGTGATACATCGGCAGCAACAATAGTATGCACAATGGCGGAGCTTATGAAGAACACATACGCCATGAAGAAAGCTCAATTGGAAGTCAGGCAACTCATGAATAGAAAAGAGAAACTCAGCGAGAGTGATCTTCCCCAATTGAACTACTTAAAAATGGTGATCAAAGAAGCCTTGAGATTCCACCCTCCGGCGCCGTTACTGGTCCCTTGGGAAACCACATACAAGTTGTAAGATATATTAAATATAATATATATATATATATATATATATATATATATATATGCTTCGAATCCGGTGCATCCCCTATACTAGATGAGGTCATGAGGTCTCATCACAACCATTAAGTTACTAGAATTTGATGGATTTGATTGAAAGAAATGTGTTAGATAATTAATGTTAGAATTTAAAAATTTAAAAATAAGGATAAAAGAGTCATTGTAACAGTGTTGTTAATTATGGCTAAAATAAATTAGTAATATTTAGCATAATATTAGATGGAATAAGAATGGTAACAAATATAAAGTATTTGTGGATGAGATACAAACATGTAGTAGTAGTACGGAAATTTAGTGCTGTAGTGTTTGGGGTCTATGCATTTGGAATTGCGGTATGTGCGTCTTGTAATGGCGTGTGCGTGTTCTTGTAATTCGACATCCAAGGAGTTAAAGAATTATTGGGGGTATGGTTTAATGCATGTTGTTTGCCCGAATATGGAAGAAATTAACTAAATGGGTAGAAGTGGTTTGTTATTGTTTGGGCGTCACAGGAGTAGTATTGGGGGTCTGTGCATTTGTGATTGTGTTCTGTACGTCTGCTTGTTATAGTGTGTGCGTGTTACTGTTGTGGCGTGTGCGTTTTGGTGAATTTGAGGTGTAAAATATTTTTCCTGTAATTCGAGATCCAAGGAGCTAAGTTATTATTGGGGATATGGTTGAGTGCATGTGGTTTGACCGTATATGGAAGAAAATTACTGAATGGGTAGAAGTATGGGGGTTTGTGCGTTTTTAATTATGGAGTGTGCGTATTCATGTAGTGGTCTGTGCGTGTCGTGGATTCGGTTAGTGTGTGTTGGGTAAATTCATTTTGGTTGCAGATGTTTAATTGTCGGTTTGGTGTGCGAGCAAAGGAGAAGCGTGTGCATAATGATGATGGGGCGTGTGCATTTACGCGTTGTGGTGTGTGCGAATGAATCACATATTATGCAATGGGTTCAAATAGATGAAAAGGCAATATCACACTGGAACCACACGAATTATGATACTTCTATACAATGAGAAGAAAACCAACTTTTGGAGGCAATTAATTTAAACACATTACACATGTAATGAATTGTTGGCAAAAAAGCAATCATTTAATTAAATTGAGTCACTTCAGTTATATCTTGGTTGTATGAAAGCCTAAATGTCATCCATTAACAACCAATATTCTAGGCAAAAATGGTGAAATGTACACCTTGGCAGATATAAGAGATAAAAGAGTATCTGACTCTCTCTTTATATGCAGGTCATGATCAATAGAGAAGAACCAATCTTTCTGTATACAACTTCAAAAGCTTTGAATATCTCAGCCTCATAAAATTCATACTTCTTATAAGCCTCCATCTTCTTTTCCCAAGTCTCTTTGCTCATTGCCCTGAAGGCATGAACTACTAGAAGAAACTTGTATTTCCATGGGTTAAACCCCACAGCAACATCAACAACGGGCTCACCAACAACCGCGCCCACCGGATCAACCGCACCATCACCTACGAATGGTAAAAGTAAATCACAAGAACCAAAAAAAAGAAAAAAAAAAACACACAGCGTAAGCCCCATACCCTGCTAACAAAACATAAAATTGAGCACACACTAACACAATAATGCACATACCAGGAAATTTCAGTATGATAAACCTGTATTGCCAAGTCCAGAATAACGCAACAAGCACATAGTGAGACTCAACGACGCACAGACCAAGCAACCAAACATTCTAAGCCACACAAACATTTAAAAATCATGAGTACTGGTTTCATACAGTGAGAAGAATGAAGACAAAGAGAAGGTAGCAACACTGGTTTCATACAACGCAATAAAAGGCTAACATAACATATTCATGGAAAAATAACTCTTTAATTCATATCAAGTTTGTCAAGAAAGCATAATTTGGTTGAGGAGAATTAAAATACTTTAGGGGGCATTTGATTCAGGTTATATAACATAACTCCCAGTAATGTGAGCATCGAAATGTTATAGGCCTTTATTTGGTTCCTAGAGATGGTTTCTAGTTCATTTTTTTACCATATTCCTGGGAGTCTCATTCCCTAAGGGGGTGTTTGGTTGGATGGAAAATATTTTCCATGGAAAATGTTTTCTTCAAAGTGAAGGAAAATGTTAGTTTATGTTTGGTTGGATGGAAAACATTTTCCATTGGAAAATGGATTCCTCAAAGTGGAGGAAAATGAATTCTTTGCAAAGGGGTGGGATTTTGTTTTCCACAAGGATTGGGAAGAAAAATAACATGAGTGGACCATTTTACCCTTATGGAAATTTCTTAATTACATAAACACCTATATATTCATTCATCTTTTTAAGGGCATATTGGTCTTTATATTCATTATTCCTAATCTTTCTAAACCCAACTAAACAATGGAATCCATATTCCCAGTAATTTCATTTCCACCAACCAAACAATTGAATCAATTTTCCTGGAATTCATTTTCTATGGAATTTCAATTCCATTTCCCTTCAAATATTTTCCAGCAAACCAAACGAGCTGTAAGGTTTTTAGGTAATGTAAGATTTATGAAAATGATACATTACCTAAAACCATTCTCTAACCTAAGCTCTCCATTAATGCAATGCAGCAATTTGAAAACAAATTTTCATAAGTCCATACCGAAGAAAGGAAGAAGGAATGCGACACAAACGGTTGAAGCTACAAGTGCTGTCCTTAGCTGAACAAAACACCAGAAACTACTGGAGATTCTCTCAGGCAGCAACTCCTCCACAGCTCTAGCCAGTGGATTTATCATCAAGGCATATTTTGTGAAAGGGTTGATAACCTGTTGAGAGTACAGCATTAGAGGGAAAAAATTTGTCTGTAGATAAAATAACCCCAAAACCCCAAACACCCACCTACCGGAGGCCAAAAGCCCAAAAAAACACACATGCACAACCCCGATCACCAACCCCCGACCCATTCGAGAAAAAAATCCAAATGCCAACCCCAAAACCCTAACCAAGAAATCAAACAACCCCCGCTGTCACCCTCGCACCACCCCAAAATCCTAATTTCAGAGACAAAGCAAAAATAAACAACCCCCCGGTGATGACCCCCCCCCCCCCCCTCCCATAAAAATCACACAAGCAAGAACTACGACCGCACAAGAAATCGAAAATCCAAAACCCCAACCCAATCCCCTTCGCTACGGCAAGAAATCCACAAAAATACGGGAAAGAACACCACAAAATAAACAAAAAAAAAAAAGAAATTAAAAAAAAAAACAAAATAGAGAATGACGATAGATAGTACCCGCACTAGACGAAGATGAGATACCCCTAAGTCGTTTGGACTGCCTCCTGCTAGACCCATCCATAGAGATACTGACGCCGGACAATCGACGCAAGGCTGCGAACGGAGGGAGTTCATCATGGTCTTGGTTGGATCTAGTAATTATATCTTTTCTTTTAAATCCTTGGTCCAAATAGTTTGACTATTATGCAGATGGCTAGTGTTATCGATCATTTTTCTAAGATCATTTCGAAGAAGATGATAAATCGACAAATTTTTTGGCGATTTTAACTTCAATGGCGCGACAAATCGACATTTTTGTGGTTCATAAACATTGTTGCGCCAAATATGACACAACATACACGTACTGTTCATCCACGCCATTATGGTGTAGAGTTTTTATTCATATTTTCCCCATGCTTTTGTTATTAATTCCTTTCATATCTTTTATTTTATTTGGAAGTTTAATATATTTAATTTGTTAAATATTTATACTTATGAATATATATCATACAATCAATTACAAATATGTACATTTGGGAAAAAGTAATTTTAGTGAACATGAAAATTTACCCCCGAAGCCAAACTTCCTATCAACACTTAAAAATTAAATTACCAAAATCATAATTTTAACAAAATTAAATTGTACTAAAATATGATTATTTATAACACAAGTTATATTTTATATTAAACTAATTAAATTCAAACTAATAAACTTTAAAATTTTGAAAAGAAAAATATTTTAATGTGGAATTACATTCGGTGTAATGGGTTGGAGATGAATACATTTTATTATAAAAATATTTTTTATACATTTTATTATAAAAATATTTTTTTGATGCAACATTTGGTGTAAATTTTTGGTGTTTTGGGTTGAAAATGATGTGAAGTAGATGTAAAAAAATCAACCTTTGGTCACTTTTTTCGCTGCTCAGAACTTTTTGATATTAAATTCCAGATTTCAAAAGTTCTGAAATTTTGAATATTCCTTTATTTATTGTCCCTTGCTCCCACTTTGCATCTCTTAAAAAACCAATATCTTAGTGCTTAAAGTATTAGTTAAAGAAGTCATTTTTATACCCAAAATTCTATGTTTTCAATTAAACATTTTTTTTTTTCCTTCTATCCAAATAAAAATACATATGTGCATGAATGAACTTTATGATAATATATTTGGTTGGATTTTTTTTTAATACTATTGACTCTGTTACAATGTAGTATTATCGAACCTATGATCTTCTATTTGGAAGAGCCATTTCGTGCCACTAGACTACAAAGTCGTTGACATATTTGAATTGGTTGAATTTAGTGTAATTCAAATTATTAATATTATATTACTAGCTAATAATTGATCAACAAAGTAAATTAAAAGTAATATTACTAGCTAGCTAGCTAGCTAATAATTGATCAACAAAGTAAATTAAAATTAAAGTAATATTGTTGGAAATATATATAAGTATGATAAAAAAGATTACGTAGAAACATATGAGGTATATTGGGAATTGATTGATAATATAATTTGTTTCAATACATTTCAATCTCCCTCGCACAATTTCAATACCCAATAACCCAAACGTAACACATCAGAATGAAAGATACAAACATCAGATAATTAAGAGGCACCAGACACCACACAATTCCAAGAATTGCCTGCTGCCACCTTATTATATTATTAAACTCACACACGACAACATAGTTATTAGTTTGTTTGGTCAACAGTTGCAAGGGTTGCATTTGCAGTTATCTCCGCACTTGCATGCATGTCCTCCCTCTGTTGCCTTCTCAGCTCCTCCCTCAAAGCTGCTGCAAAATTAAATTTTGTATAAATAAACAATAAATCATAATTTCTTCATCAATAAACTTAATTGCCTGTTTTAGTTTCCTATTCTTCAATTCTTCCCAGATTTCACACTTCTGATCTTATGCCAAAACATAACAGCAGTTAAAGAGAAATTGACTTCTTACTTCTTCATTGGTGCAACGCCCTGGATGAGGCTGCTCACACTGCTGGCCTTCTCAACATCAGCGTACATCCCACATCTGTTATCATAAAAAAAACATCCTTAAACATAGTAATTTTTTTTTTTTTTGGTGATTAGGAAAATCGCAGCCACAACCAGTAGTGTGTACTGAGTAACTCAAGGAGGCAAAGAGTTACAAAAGAGATAAACTAGTCTAATTTGTTCATAACTTATTAGCGTAAGACCAATAGGTCATTCTAATAAATAGAATCTCTCAAGCTCGTTGAAACACTGCTGGAAATTATGAAATTTCTGACCACCTAAAAATGATCTTGAATCAAGTTGAAAGCAAAAGGTGATCGGAAATAGTAACAAAGGTTTTTTCAGAAATTTCATAATTTTCAGTAGTTTAAACTTGTACGCTAAAAATAGCGAACTTACCCATTACAGCTGCTGCCGCACGAGCAGCTAGAGCCGCAGCCACATTTCCCGTTGCAGCAAGACATGTTTTGTATGAAAGATTGGGGTTTGCAGTGGATAATGTTTGATTGAATGTATTATTGGCTTGTGTTGAGTCCATTGATACAATATTGGCCCCTATTTATAGTGCAAGGGATGAGAAAAAGAGTGATCAATGCACCCTACACGTGTCATTATCTCCAGGAATCAGCATATTTTTTTTAAAATTTATATTAATTTTCCCATTATTATATATATCAATCAATACAGATCGATAATAATAAAGATGGAGATGAATTATTGAAGCTAGCTTTATTAGTAGTGTCGTTACGTTTCAAGGCTCAAAAGATTCTATTTTTGCCTCAGCTTCAAGACTTTCTTGAAATAAATGAATAAAGTTCTCATCTTCTCTCAACAGATTGAGAGAGAAAATTAAATATTATTTTTTGTTAATGCAATAATATCTAAATCTAATAAATATAAAAACATAATAATAAGCTAATTAGTGTGAATGAAGGTTATACTCTTCATTTATGACCATTTTTTCATTAACTTTTTTAATATTTATGCTATAAAAGTTGTACTTTACAATATTTTGGACAAATATATATACATCTACCGTTATAATTTCCGTTATCTTTTTCACTATTGTTACCATGCACACGCATTCATAATATATTTTCTTATCTTCTTCAATAATATTAATAATATATACACATTATATATATATATATATATATATATATATATATATATATATATATATATATATATATATATATATATAACTTGTTTCAAAATAAACTTAAAAGAATCTTAAACAATTAAAAAAGAATTTTAATTTGTAAGAAATTAAACTCGCAACTGCTACTTGGTTGTGCCTTAGGTGAAACCCACCACAACCTGTCTTGTGTCCTAGTTAGTCCAGGATCACAAGGAGGCCGGTAAATAATCATAAGTTGCCACTAGCTGACCCATTCAATTGTTCAAACTAAGAATAATACCTGTCAATAAGATCAACTTCACTATACTTGGAGTTTCAATTTAAGACATAACTACTAGCTCATTGAATATTAGGGTTTGTTGTTGTAGTGAAAGTCAAAGAAATAAATTTCTTGTACAAGGTGACTAAGAACGTTAATGTTGCATTATATTCTTCGTTCTGTTTATTTTGGATGATTATACACCGTAATATACCGTCACAAGAAACAGCTAGCAAAAATAATGTTGGATAATATAATTTACTAAGTCAAATTAATCTACTCTATTTTATTTTTAATTTTGTATTATTATAATGTAACTGGTAGTATGAGGAGCTCGGGCGAAAGACCTGGTCGAGCGGCATGGCTGTGGATCTCCTAAATAGGCGGTCACTTATTCAAATTTCAATAAGAACATTGACTATTTGTGTTTCGTGATACATGACGAGTAATGATATGATAGTGAAGATATATATATGATCCTTCTATGTTTTTTTAACCCTGTGAATTATTATTATTAAATTGGGTGATTTTGTACATCATCAAATGTGGGGGACAGAAAAGAAGTGATTTTGATGGGAGGAGCAAATGATTTAGAGCACAAAGTTGACATTTGATCCCATTGAGAGAGCTTTCATTAGAGTTTCAATATTTTTGGGCAAGTTGTATACGCTAAAAGGTTCCACCCCCCTAAAAAGTTTCACTTTTCTTATCTTCAATCCCTTCATGTTTATCCCAACATCCAAAGTGGGCAGGTAAAAGATTCCTTGCAATATTATATATAAAATAAGGTTAAAATGAGAACTAACAGTAATGTGGAGAACATGAAGCTCATCATTACAATCTTAAAGGCCAAACTCATCATTTTATTTATAATTTAGAGATTAAATCTACCTGGTAAATAATCGAGAGAGTATATTTGTTAATAAGTATTTAACTTTAAATTTCATTACCTTCGTCCCCTTTATATGCAAATAATATATTTTCAATGGACATTGAATTTAACTCAAAGGGGTAGCTGATCGTTGGGATAACCGAGAATTAGCTGGATGGACACGGACCGTGGAGATAGATCCTGAACACATTGTCGCAAATCATTATGTGGATTCGAATTCAAATATTCACCATTTATATACTAAATGTTCGCAATTTATCTTTTAAAAATTCACAATTTATATACTACGAACACATAATGTATTACCTTATTTTGTATTTATAAGTTCTTTTCAAATATTACAGTCATACAATATTAACATATTATGATTTTTTTAGGAGGGACAGATTATGATTTGATGACCCTGTATTTCCTTTTACAATTGTTATGTATTTTGACTTAGAAATATAATTTATATTCTAGAAGTTTACAATTTCAATATTAAAAATACATAATTTATACATCCTTTAGCACCAAGGTCCACCAACCAGGGTCATCTTGTAGGATGGACCATGGTATAACAACTCAGATCTTGTGGTTTAACCAAAAAATGAATACTAAATCAGTCCACATATATGCCTGCAGCCTGCTCTGTCAAAGTCCATATAAAAAATGTGGGCTTAGAGCCCAGAGCTTAGCACTACCTACCCGGTCCATTTTATCTCCAATTTTCATTTTTTCTTTTTTTTTTTTTGTTTTGATAATCTAGGTTTTCCAACTTCACTTGAGTGTATCATGAACCCTATAAGTATGTTAGCAGGTCCATAATGAAATAAATTGAACCAATCTAGTTTCGAGATTTAACCCTGAATTGTAGATTTTTGTGCACAATAACTTCAACTAAAACCTCTAATATTTGTGGTAGGAATTGAACCCCAATTAATTTCCAATTTTCATTTGGTAATTGTTATTATACTTGCTGAGTTTCTACAAGGGGATGTTGGTTGGCCGATTCATTATATTATGGACCATGGTCTATATTATACCACTAATATATATGTTTATTTTTAGTATAGCTTAAGTTCATTTGTAGCGTTCTATATCTTCATTTTTATGTAATGCAAGTTCAAATGAAATCTTAATCGCTTCATTTCTTGATCAAGTCAATACCCTGAAGAAAACAAGTGAGAGCAAATAAACTATCTGACTTTATCCATATCAATATAGACTTCTACAAAACAACATGTGTGTTGTGCATTAACTCAAATGAATTTCTGAATCTTAATTAACCACTTAACAAAATTTTGTCTACATGATAGATGACACTATTGCAGATAAAACCAACCATTTATATCACATTACTCAGGGATTCTACAAACTATATATACAGTAAGCTAACACCAAAATTTATCTACAACACTTTTGGCGTAGGGATAAACTCTTGATCCTAACCGGTGATTTCAGAATCAAGGATTCAAAATCTCATCCAGAAGATCCTCAAAAAGGATACCTTCTACCTCAAGTGCCACAAACTCACTTTCTGTCTGCAGATTCATCCAACCATAATCCTTTTCCAAATCTCTGGCCACAATACTCTCAAGTGACTGCTTTGCCTCTGGCTTTAAGTTCAGCAATGAAGTAATGGTTGAGCAAACCTCTGCAATGATATGTTTTCCTGTTGGGAGTGGGCGAATGCGGGTACAGGACGATAAGGCTGCAGGGTAGTAAGTGAATGATGTATCGTATATCTGAGTTAGAACCTCGTTGATCAAATCGAATAGCATCTGATGGTGAAAAAACATGCAGATTTCTTCCCTTGAAGATTGGAATTCCTGCTCCCAGCAAGACTCAACTTCCTCAAATACTGAGGGGTTTAGTGGCTGTTCACTTGAGTACCATGTTCCTTGGAAGAAATTCTCTGTGAAGCCCGAGCATTCAAGAATCGCCATCACGAAGCACAGATCGGGATCATCCATTTCTGTTTTATAAGACTGGCTGTGCTTATTATATGCTTTTTCATCCATTTCTGAATCTGTACAGAAACTGTCACTCGAGTTGATTGCAGAATCCTTCTCTTTGGCTTGGTTGCTAATTGTGCCCTCTGAACCAAGAAATTGCAGCCATTTTAGTACCTATATCACTTCATATATGTAGAGTTAAGTGGGGGAAAAAAAAAAGAATACCTTTTGAGATTTGATAGTCTTCTTGGAAGCATGTTTCTTCAGAGCATTTGACTCCTTGTTCTCTATAAGAATCGCCTCTGATCAGTAGCTTTAACTGATCGATTTCCTGGGCAAGTTCTTCCATATCAGGACTAACTTCATCATCTGTATCTGCAATCAAGAAACCATCATTGCTTCCTGCTTGTTCACTTTGATCCCCGGGCTCTTCCTGTGCATCTAAAGATGCAGTTTTTTCTTTACTTTCTGGCTTCTCATCGCCCTCGCCCTCGCTTGTAACATTCATAGAACTGCTCTCTTCTGCTGTCCTGACTGCATGATCTGAGAATGGAGCAGAACCGAGTAGCTCGAGTTGAAGGAAACAGCTCGATTCCACTGATAAAGAGCGTATCCTTCTGAAAGGAATTGATGGAATCACGCGCTCGTTTGTCACCTTTAAGCTCCTAGAAGGTTTCAATTCAACTTCCTTGCCAAAACTGTGATCATATAGCCTGGAATACTTGCCTAATGAGTCATTCAGGGAAGTACTTCTTCTGTGAAGAAATGAAGATTTGGGAATACCATTTCCAGCAGTTTCTTGAGATTCATCATTCTTGCCATCAATCTCTGCCACTTGCTTATCTTCTTCCTTCTGTTCTGTTGTTTTACATCGAAAATCAAGGGTCGAGGCTCGATTCAGAGTCCTGTTATCCTCTTCATCGCCCATGAGACCCAAGCTATCTAAGAGATCCTTTGCATTCTTTGGGATAGCTAAGTTTGGTTCTTGATTATCATCTTCTAACCTCTCTACTTTTGACCAAACTTCTTTCTGCTTGTCTTTAAGTTTAAGAGGTTTGTAGTCTCCTCTCTTGCTGTCATATAGAGGGAAAGATCCAGACTTTGTTAATCCTATTTTCCTCTTGGAAATCTCTGCACCCTGTAAAAATTTTAGAAACAGCTCCAGGCTATCTGTATCCTTGTTGAGTTGCTTCCTGGGAACATATGACTTTTCCCTGACTGAAATCTCTTCTTCTTTATCTTGCAGTGTCTTGGAACCCTTGTTTGGGGTGCCGGGGAGGATTAAAATCGGGTGGTTCCAGTCAGGATCATCGTCGTTAGGCTCGAGATGATGGATTGAGTAAGTTCTTTGATATTTCGACTGCTTGTTGTTGTTCTGCTCCATAATCAGAGCTTTTATCCGTGCTTTGAGAGATCTTTTGTTGTTTAATCCAGGCTTTTTCGGGTTCTGGTTAACCTGGGATGTTCTGGTTTTAGTCTGAATTCTGGAAAGAACAAAAGAATTTGCATATATTTACCTGCAAATGTGTTTCTTCATCCTCCAAAAGTCTCTGTGCTTCTCCAGTTTCATTGTGAATCGATTTGGTCTTGTCTGGAGAACACCAAATTGTTCCAGGATTAGAAATCATCAAGAATAAACAGTTAATTAATTGGGTATTTGAGAGCTGAGATGCTTACTCTTATCATTTATCACTCTGGGCAGAAGCTTCTTCCTGGCATTATTATAGTGCCAGTGATGATAGTCCAGAGCATATATGAATCGCTTCCACATGCACCCAGCTGGATTATACCTCTCTCTATCTCCGTCTTCCTCGTCAACGCGTCTCATCCATGAACTCCTTCTTCCCATATTCCCAGATTTCTGGTAAAAACAAGAAACCAAATACGATGTTGGATCATATGTAAACTCACTCAGGAATTCTGGGTAGTCGATCGATTGGAAGATTGTATTACCTTTGATGCAGAATTGAAGGAGGAATGGAAGATGATGATGGTGCTGTGTTGTGGAAGCTTTAATTTGGGATTTAAGATGACAGGAAAACCAGAGAAGACAACAAGAAATGTATGGTAACTGCAATCGATTTTAGCAGTTATGGAAGCAATTATGAAGGGGGGGTTTGTGTGTTTAAACGTATGCGGAACGAAAAAAGAATGATGAAAAATAGAAACAAGACAGCGTAGATCGAGTTGCAGAAATGTACTATGTAGTCTGGCGTTATTTACCCGTCAACGACTCTGTCTCTCTCTTTTAAATATATTTATGCTGTCACAAGTTTAGCTCACTGGTTCAGTAGGTAATATTTCAGACAAGAGATCAAAATTTGAATTTTTGTAGCAACAGTGTAGAGATTATGTCTAAAGTGGGTAGATCTATCAGCATTTTACCATGTCTATTAAGTCATTGTTGGGTCAGAGTCTGGGGACATTTGCGATTGAGATTTAATCTTTTGGGAGAAGAATCAGAGTAATATATTTGTGACTAATTATATGGTTGTTATTATTATTTTATTTACTAATATAAGATAATATGAGGGCGCTGAATGAAGTCTGAATGGGTCAATGGAGTGCCTTTAAGGGAGAAGGTTTGGTTTTGGATTACCAAACAGATATTTTAATATACAAATCTTAATCATCAAAATGAAATTGTGATGGTTACCATTTTCTGTGGGTTCTCGTTTTGATATATTATTATTGAAAAATTATAAAGTATTATATCGCATCATCACATTGTATTACCAACAATTAATAAAAGTACATGTAATGATCACTATATGTGATGGGGAAATGGTATTTAGTATGATATTGAACAATTATTCTTTAGTTTTGGAGTGATTTGGGTCTCGTCAAAAAGATTAAATCTAATTAAGAATATTGGAGTTTATATAGTTATAAATAAGGGTAATACATTAATGGCGTTGAGGAACTCATTTGTCACATTATATTACAAGATAATAAATGTGTGCCCTTGTTAGTATTATATGTAATTTATTATTATCTTTTGTGCACCTCATCAACATTTAAAAAATAAAAATAAAAACACTGTTATAGAGAGATTAACATCGATCTAAATTAAAAGTTCGTTTTCCTATGTGAATAAATCTTATGGTAGCTCAAGTTGTCGCTTAATCAACGCTTAGTCTTGCTTCTAACCCCACTAAAAGTTTAAGGAGTCATTTGTGGACTTCAGCCAATCAGCAATGGTAAAATTTGTACGAGTGCGCAAAAATCTTAGAATCACTTTAGCAATTTAAGATTTACTTCATTCATAAGTCTTGCCGTCTTGGGGCGAATTTATATGATGATTCAAGATATAATTTGACGAAACCAAAAAATACGAGTTATCAAGTAAAAAAAATCTTACAATTTCATTTGTATTTCAAGTATTTTTGGGTATTAATATTGGCAATTGGAGTGGTACATGATGGATACCACTGAACTAACAACTTTGAATGAGTACTCGTACAGGTATTTCCCTACCAAAATAATGAGGATGGGTGATGAGTAATTATCCATCATTTAGCGATAAAGAAAGGATACGACTTTCGCCTTATATACGTACCTACTAATTAATACTCCTATATTGTACGGAGTATATCCATACACAACCACATGTCCACATACATACAAAATGAAATTGATTACTTTGACAAGTTTTACTCCTAGCATTCTAGTAAGAGCGGCTTATTAATATTTTTGGTTTGAGTCAGTCAATTAGAATTAATTTAGACTAGTTTATCTTTTTATGTCTTTTACCGGTTAGCGTTACAAGCAGGTTTACCCAATACACACCCTCAGGTAGTGGCTATTGGTTTTCTCTTGTCACCCCAATAAAATGAATGGTGTGTTTGGTTCATGAGTTTACACACTAGGAATGAGAATCAAAATCATACTTAGTGTTTGGTTGATAACTTTTTAAAACACAGCGATCCCGTTAATTAAAAATCTCATTCTCTAATTAAAAATGTGTATCATTCCATCTTATTGGTAATCTAATTTTTAAGTTTGGGTTACTACTTTTAGATTCTTGTTTTGATTTTTTGTTCATATTGATGATTTGGATGTCATTATATTATGATTAATTGCCTTAATTTTTTGTTTTTTTTTTTTTGTATTTTTAAAACATGTATTCCTATTATAAGTCATACACAAACAAACATCAATATTAGTCATCATTCCAATCTCACCCTACTACCAAACATGCATAATATTTTCACCAAAACTCATTAACAGAACATTTAATTCTCATTCTGATTTTGATTTCCATGTACCAACCAATGCAAACACACTTGAAATTGATTACTTCGATTTGGTGGTAGGTAACTAGGTATTAGTCATTAGTTTCATGGTAGGTAACTAGGTATTAATCATTAGTTTCATATGGATTCAATGGCCAGTAAGAACTATTGATGCTTGACAATTCATTCCGTCGAGATGTTATATAAGAGCATCCATAACAGCAGCTCATGAGGAGTTCTTGTACGGATTTTAAGGTTTTGCATCCAAGGTAGAGGTGAGAGAATCAGGTGAGAGGAAAAAAAAAAAAAAAACCTTTTGTAAAAATGAGGTTTATAGCAAAAAAGTGAGTCTCACTAAGAAAGAATGCCAGCCGTGCGCCACGTGTGTGGCACAAGTGAGCCTAGCGGACGCGTGCACTGCATGTGCTAGCTGGGCGCGTCGGGCGCGCTGAGATGCTTTAAATCAGTTTTGTTTTAATATTTTTTTTTCTCCCCTACCATATTTTCTTTCATAATCACACTTACAAAAACTCTTCAAAAACTACAAAAAAATAATAATAATAATAATAATAATAATAACTCCACCATTATGGATGCTCTAAAAGTTGTTGGGTATGACCGATGAGGTCATCTATCCTCATCCTTGTTCTTACCTTCTCAATCTCAATCTTCAATCCAATCTCTGACAATTAAGTTGATAGCAAGTTTTAGTCATCATCCAACATCAAATCAAAAGTAATTAAGTTGTTTGATCTAACTTTAGATAAGGAAGTTGGTACTATATCACTGGTCTCATCAGCTCGAATCATTGAATCCTTAATTAGATAATTGTTGCCAAGTTCTCAACCGTAATTCATTCAACAAGTGACTTGCTTACAGAACAAGGCTCACAGTGGGATAAACATGACTTTAGAAGTTGTCCTAGTCACATCCTCCGCTAAGAGTTTTGAAGCCTAAAAAGACATTATCAATGTTTAATATTACAATTATATCGAATTGGACATTATATTTTTAACTGTTAGGCAATGAAAGCTAGTTATACTTTTCTACTAATTTAATTACCCAAAATCGTATAAAAATCCCTAAAAATGAAGAAATAGGACATACTAAGAACTTTTAGAATCAACTAAACACACATTTTAGCTTTCTATTATCACAATTTCTTAGCTAAATTCAATAGTTTTACTTTTTAAGTTTACGTTGGACTGACTCCACAAAATTAACAAAAATTAAGTGAGATTTTACAGTATGATTTATTTATTTTTACTGTTTACTCCAAACTTACTAGGCAATTAAATATGCCAAAATGTTTGACTTCTAATACTGCATTTAATAAATCCACCACCAAATTAATTTATAGTAAATTAGATGATTATATTGACTATAAATAAATTGTGAAAATGTCTCAAATACTCAATGTTGTCAGTTTAGACTTTAGAGTCTAAAATGTTTAAGAATTATAGGCTACACATCCAAACTTGACTCATCCTTAGCGTTGAAAGAGTACACCGATTTAGACATCCGGTCCGGTCCGGAGGCTTTTTACAACTTCCAGTGGGGACGTTCGGCGGCCGCTATTTGACCAAGTAATCAATCAAATGTCGACAGTTTAGCCGTTTAACTACCTGCCCACCACCAACCCATACAACATCTTACATTGCATCCCTCTTTATTTGGGACGAAAATTTGAAATTTTATGATTAGAATTGGAGTTCAAGTCTTATAGACATGAAGTTTATGTTTTTATTAATGAATTTTATAAGTACAAAACAGACATTGTAAGGCTCGAGTATCGAGCTAATTTGGTGGAGAGAATATAGTAATATATACTAGCACATGTTTAGTACACATGATTGAAAAGCTATTTATACTAAATTTAACATTGAATAATTCTTATGTGTTATTGGAAGATAACATGTCTTGCAGTATAGTAGAATGGAGCGACAATAACCGTTTTTGTAGTTTGAACCCGAACTAGGCTCGCTGATTGAGTGGGCTGATAGTGCGTGACCAGCGTCTTACGGTATGGTACACGACAAATTTATAAATATACTGTTAAAAATTATTTATAAATATAATATTTATAACTATAAATGTCTCATCATCATTACAATTAATAAAAATTCTCATTTATTTCTGTGATCGAATCATGTAAATTCTTTTTTTCGTTTTATGTTCTTGATCTTTTGATCTAATTTTCTCAACATTTAAGTTGTTTATAACAAAATTGCACCTTATAAATTGACCATGATATATTAATTCCTTGCTATCTAGAACCTTTGAGACGAATTTTCTGAAAAAAGTAAGCAAATAGGGTGCGAACCCTAAGACTTGTACGTATAGCTGCGGTCAATTGTAGGTCCATTTCCTGAACATATAGACACCTCGACAATAGACTTCAATGCTCAATATATAGGCCCTGTTTGGCAAAATGGCTGTTAGCTGATAGCTGTTTGCTGTTAGCTGATTGTGTTAATTAGAGGGTATAAATAGTTGATAACATTAGCTGATTGTAGAAAAGTGTTTGGTAAATTAGCTGTTAAGTGATAGCTGTTTGGTATAATTTCTTTTCTCAAAAAGCTAATTGAAAAAGTTGTTTGGAGCAACTTTTTGAATTTTAGCCTTTTGGAGTTGCAAAAAGCTAATTAACCAAACATTTATATTGATATTTTAATTAAATCAAATAATTAATAGTGGTCCAATGGTACCCGGGTTGGACTTCCATTTGGAAGGTTGTGAGTTCAGGCCTCAATGGAGGCATTATTAGCTCTTTGTGTTTCAATAGGTTGAGAAAGTATATGAACAGATACTACAATGTAATAGAGCTAGTAGCATTCAAAAAAAAAAATAATTAATAGTGGTTAAATATAAGCCAAAATTGGCCTATAGGCCAATTTTTTACCAAAGAGGGCGATAGTTGTTTAACTAATGAACAATTTCTTTTATTTTGCGTTTCCGAACAGGAAAACAGCTGTCATGAATATACAATTTCATGGATCACATCACCACTGCCATTGTATGATTTCTTCTGTCGTAATTAGGGTTTTATATATTTGTAATTGCCTTGTATAAATGCAGTCCAGAGTTAATATAGGCCCAAATCCAAACTCTACAACCTCTTTATAATAGGTCCAAGTTCATTTTCTATTTCTTTTAAATATTTGAGAGAATTAACTAATTAAAGATTAAACCTTAATCTTCTAAGTTGTTATACCCTGGACCAAGGTCTACCTTGCAAATGTGATCTCTGGTCCTAAATGCCGTATAAATTATGTATTTTTAGTATTAGAATTGTGAACTTCTATAATATAAATTGTGTACTAAAAAAATTAAGGCATTATTAATATTAACACGTTTACGAAATAAAAAATAACTATTTCACCCTCAACAAGTTTTAAACTTTTGACATCTTATAGAATTAATGCAATTCTACTCCGCTATGCTAAATAATCAACTTAAAATTATTATGCAAAATTTAATTAAAATGAATATTAAAATAAAATTTGTAGAGGATTTTGTTTTTATTTAAAAAATCATACAAATTAAAATAAAATAAAATTTAAAAATTTATTTTATATTCATAGAAATAAATTAATAAGGACTATTAAAATTTAAAAATTTTCAATACATATGTTCTTATTTTTAATTTTTAATAAATAATATTGATGGGGTGTGGACCCAACGGCCTTAGGGCCCAAGAAGGGGAAAGGGTCAAAGCCCAGGGAAGGAGAGGCCCAAAGATAGACCCAGGCCAACACAGGTAGTCGGTTCGAGTCAAAGGCCGGGGCAAGCGCGAGGTCGGCCTGGAAGTAGCCGTTAGCATTTAAGAGGCTTATTAAAAGACCCAGTTAAGCAAGCCGTTGGGAGACCCAGTAACAGCAGCCCAACGGCATTAGAGCTCATAGAGGCCCATTATGGCCCTTAAAGACAAAAGCTTTTATTTTGCCAAGGAGGATCCCTATAAAAGGGTCTCCTCAAAAATTGTAAGGGGACGGCGAGAACATGCCAAGAATACATACAGACTTATAGCTACTTGCTTACCCACTTTTTTACCTCTATTTTTGAAAGGTGAATCCACCAACTAAGGTTGTGTTGGACCTCACTGAGCCCAAAAACCCTAAAACCAACAAATATTTTAAAATTTTGTTTTAAAATACATGTACCGTAGTTTATTTAGATTAAAAAAATTGGGAAAATTTAACACTAACAACATTTAAAACAAATAAAATTCTCTGATCTAGAGCTCCTTTCTTAGTATCTTCTTAACTAAATTTTGCACATAAATATTAAGTTTATTATTTAGCATAGTGGATAAAAAATGACGTTAATTTCATTAAAGGTTAGGGCTCAAATCTTATTGGGATGTGTTAGTTATTTATTTTGTTGAGCTTAATGTTAATATTAATTTATTAGTTTAATTGAATAAATTAACGTTAAAATAAAATATGAGTTGACATGACATATTATATTATGTCAACATGGTAGTGATGATATCAATGCTATATCATTCAAGTTAAGGACTTAACGGTAATAGACATCTTTGCGTAATGCCCTTAACATGGTGTTTGGTTGGAGGGAGTTTAAATTCCATTCCCACTTAATTCTAAAGGTCATAAAATTTCTTAGTTTGGTGGGATTCATGGAATTAAAATCCCATGTCCCCTATGGTATTTTAATTCCTGAGATTTTAGGAAGAAAAAAAGCTAGTGATGAGACAAAATTATCCCTCATTTTTTTAACCTAAAATTAATACCACAACAATAATTGTCATTTTAGACTTTATACTACTTATTCCCTTTCAATTCCCATGTATACCAAACATTGGAATTAAAATTCCCAGTAATTCTATTCCCGTATACGAAACACTGGAATTTAAATTCTCACTTTATTCCCAGTAATTAATCTCCCATGGAATTGCAATTCCTATCCCACGTAATTCTCCCAATCCAACCAAACGCCCTGTTAAGGGTTCCTCGGCCAGCCAATGCGATTTTGTAGATGCAATATTCTTGTTTTATGAATGTATAATAATCAGTTAGGATATTGTCATGTTTAGATGTTGATTTGCTTGAATCCGTATCACACAATTGATTTGTATGGATATGATTTTAATCAATAATTAGTGTTTAAATTGAATAAAATATTTGAAGAAAGGAGTAAGAGGGGTTCAACTTTTCTGAATATATTTGAGTTCTTCTTGTTCTGCATGTAGGGGTGACTACAGTTCGGTTCGAACCGAACCGTGTACTGTTGAACCGGAACCGGAATCGAATAGTCTGTACGGTTTCAGTTCTAGTTCGATTGGTTCCGGTTAAGGTTCGAGAAGAAAAGAAACCGGAACCGGCAGTTTTGGTTTCAAACCGGAAAAAAAATAAAAATTATAGTGTTCTTTTATTTTAAATAAATCCGGTTAGAACCGATCGTTCCAACCGGAACCGCTGGTTCTGAACCGAAACTGGAACCTTAGTACCTTACAAGGTTTCGGTTCCGATTTGTCCATTTGTGGAACCGAAATCGGCGGTTCCAAACCGGAATTGCGGTCACCCCTACCTGCATGCATACTTCAATATAATATCCAAATGATTCTTACTAGGTTTATATTGGTTTGGTCTTTGGCAATATAATATCCAAATGATTCTTACTAGGTTTATATTGGTTTGATCTTTGGCAATATAATATCCAAATGATTTTTACTATTTTTGAATGATTGATCAAACCCGATAAGTCAATAAATATACGGAGTATTAGGCAATAACTAAATTGCCTTATCTACACTTGCAACATTATTAGGCAATAACTAAATTGCCTTATCTACACTTGCAACATTGTTGGTGATGGGGTAAGGACCCCGGCCCAAGAGATAGGGGCCCAAAGAAAATAGATAGGAGAACTGGGCCAGCGTCGAGAGGAGCCCGAAGAGCAATTGGGCCGAGTCCGGGAGTCGGCCCAAGCCCAAGCACGGGGCCCAGTTCAGAGCTACTAGGAGGAGTCCAGTAGGAGCTTAGGCCGAGACAAGGAGTCGACTGAGGCCTAAGCCCAGGAAAGGACTCGGCTCAAGGAGCCGTTGAGAGCATTGAAGAGGTTCGTTTAAAAGGGAGCCGTTAAGACATTGAAAGCAGGACTCGGTCGGGCCGTTACAAGCCTGGGAGAGCCGTTGGTCGACCGAGTAACGGCGTCCAACGGCTCCATATCTTAATTAGCCTTGAAGTCGGCCATTAAAGGCCTTCAAGTCGGGTGAGGAGGAGCCACTATATAAAGGCTCCTCCATTCTTGTAAAAGGACAGACAATTGAACACCCAAAGGGGGAGAATACCAAAAAGTTCCGAGTACTAGCATAATCTCCGAAATAGACATACATTTTACTGAAAGGTGCACCCACCAGCCAAAGGTTGTGTTGGACCTCCTTGGGCCCGAAAACCCTAAAACCATCAGTTGGTATAGGTCATTATAGTTGTCTAAGCATAGTGTCGCACCACCTTACCAATTGACCATTGTTACCCGTCTGAAGATGTCACACACGTCAATCAAATTGTAGATGTCATCATAAGTTCATAACATATAGTAAAATTTGTGTCTTGCATATGTAGAACTCTAGTCTTACACGTTAGATGTTATTTACTACTGATTATGTTACAATGTAGTATCTGTTCATAGCTACTTTTCTCAACCTGAAGCACAAAGAGTCAATATCGCCTTAGTTTGACCGCTCAATTGGGAGACTCACTTGGTGCCACTAGACCACCATGACACGGGCATAGAGTCCGGCGCAGCGCACAACGCCCGTGCGGCATCTTAGGACCCCTCATACTCCGCGGATCAGCCTTTATCCACATACGAGCCAATATGGTTTTGCCGGCTCATCAGGGAAGCGGCAACAGCTCCCAACCAGTTGTGTCCTTCGATCGCATCGGTCTCCTTCATAGTAAGTCCAAAACTAGCGACAGGCTCCCCAAACTTAATCGGGTCAGCGTGCCTAACTCGGTTAGACCTTAGCGTCTAAGGCAGAACAACCCTTAACGCTATTGACGCCCCCTTCACCCGCTGACATTACTAACCAGTTGACCGTTTTTACATTCCTTGAGTCTTTACACGATTATAGAAAAACAGTCCGTGACAACCATCTCCTAATGAGACTAAATTTTAAAAGTTTAAATATAATAATTTTGGTAAAACGTAAAAGTTTGTGATTGATTAAAAGATAGTTAATGAGTGGGCATTAGTGTAATAATAAAGAGAGGCATGATAGCCCACTATGGGAGTCTGGACCCATAAGCCAACTCACACACTCCCAAGCCAGAAGCCATCCTCTCTCACACTTACTTTCATCACTCTCTTAGCTTAGTACTTAGCCCTGGATCACCTATCCTAAGCTTTCAGCTTTGAAGCATGGCTGCTACTATTTCCATGCCCCATTTTGCCCCTCTCACCTTCCTCTTTTTTCTCCTCTTGTCCACTTTCCAAACCCCACTCGCCATTGATATCACCACTCTTCTCTCCTCTTACCCTAATCTCACCGACTTTACCAACCTTCTCGCCACCACCAATGTCGCCGTCGATCTCTCCTCCCGCACCTCCCTCACCCTCCTCGCCGTCCCCAACGCCTTCCTCCACTCCTCCGATCTCACCTCCCCCCACCACCCCCCTTCCCCCACCAATATCGGCGATGTTCTCAGATACCACGTCCTTCTTGAGTACCTGTCATGGCCGGAGCTCCGCCGCATCCCGCCGGCCGGGAAACTAGTCACTACTCTCTTTCAGACTACAGGCCGGGCGTCAAGTAACTTTGGGTCGGTGAATATTACCCGGGATCCCGTCTCCGGCGCCGTTACCGTCCACTCTCCGGTTTCCAACGCCACCGTTGTTTCGCTCCTCAGGAATGTTCCGTACAATATTTCCATCTTTTCCGTGAATTCTCTCCTCGTCCCTTACGGCATCGATCTCATGGCGTCGGAGACGCGGCCGCCGCTGGGGCTCAACATCACCAAGACCCTCATCGACGACCACGGCTTCAACGTCGCCGCCGCAATGCTCGCCGCGTCCGGCGTCGAGGAGGAATTCGAGAAAGACGAGGGCGGAGCCGGCATCACGCTCTTCGTCCCCACCGACGAGGCGTTCGCGGATCTACCGCCCTCCCTGAGATTCCAATCCCTTCCGGCCGACAAGAAAGCCGTCGTTCTCAGATTCCACGTTCTCCACTCGTATTACCCGCTCGGGTCGCTCGAATCCATCGTCAACCCGCTCCAGCCGACTTTAGCGACGGAGCAAAACGGCGCCGGGAGCTTCACCCTAAACATTTCAAGAATCAACGGATCGGTGTCGATCGAGACCGGAATCGTACAAGCGTTGGTAACTCAGACGGCGTTTGACCAAAACCCCGTCGCCATTTTCGGAATCTCCCACGTATTACTGCCCAAAGAATTCTTCGGAAAGAAGCCAATTGAAGGAGACAAGCCTGGCAATGGCGGTATACCAAGCGGCGGCGTTGCTCAGCCGCCTGACATTTCTCTCTCGCCGGAAAATTCCCCAGGACTGTACGGCCCATCCAGCCATTTATCATCCCCGCCGGGCATCCGCCAAGACCTTTCCTCACTGGGGACCAAGAACATAGTAGCAAGAATATTCTTGACTGTATGGTGTATAGGATTCCACTTTCTGGTATGCCATTTGCAATTATTTTCGCCGTTAAAGTTATAGTTTTTGTTCCCTTTTCTGAGATTATACACTTGAATTGGGGCTACGAAGAAGAAAAATTAGCCATTTTCTACTGGGATCTGAGAAAGATGTCCGATTTGTGTTCGTGCCAAGACACTATAGCGCAGGCAGTACCAAATTTTGGCCTTTTGGGGGTTAAATTTCATCATATTCTTGAATGCCCATTATTGCTGCTGTTGTAATCTGTAAAGTTTCGATTTTTTTTCATGGCCATATTTATGATTTTAACAGCTCCATCGATAATTTAGTAATTACAGAAATTTGGATTATTAGATCAGTGATGCAGAAAAAGTGCAGATTGCAGCAGAGTTGTTGATATGATGTAATGCTTCAAACTCTTTTGCCTATGCAGTTCAGAAAAATCTGCAGATTTTTTGGCTTTTGGTCAGAAAGTATGATGACACATTTTATCTAAAACATAACTGCCCAGTTCCCTTTTATTTTTTTTTTTGACAGAAATTCAACAGACAAAGAAACAGAAGATGACCAAAGATGCTAGCTTTATCTAATAATAGAAAATTTCTGGGTTTTGAGTGGTTGTACTGAGGCACCTGGAACTGAGGAGTCCAGTCCAGTGGACTGAGTAGTTTTCCGGCGATGGAAAATAAAGGGTGGGGGGGATGATGGATGAGTTGTTTGGTGTCGTGTTGTTGTGGGATAAGGGAGGGGTATGTTGGTCAAGATGAAACTTTTGTGCATTACAGCAAATCCAGTTTGGATTGTCTGGGAGTTTGGGTGGTTGGAAGAAAGGGAGTGACGATGATATGATCCGACAGGGAAAGATTGTTGGTCTTCAACTTTAAACAGACATGAACATATGTAATGCAAACTAGTACTTACCAATTAAGATGCATGAGAATATTTAAGATTTTTTTTTTGGTAAAAAAAAGGGTATGTTCTTGAAGGATAAGATCTCTAAGAACATCTTCAATAGTGAAGGTTTTTTGTTGGTTTTTAGGAAGGAGTGAGATAGAGAAAAAAGAAAAGAAAAAAAAAAGAGAAGAATTTGACAGAGTTTTAAAAAAAATAATGAAAAAGTTCGTCAAAAAAAAAAAAAAGTCTCTCTTTAAACAAGTGCGTTGCTTACTATTTGTTTCTCCTGCAAAAACTAAGGTCTTTGCAACAGAATCAAACAAGGAAAAACCAAGCATCTCCATTCGTGAAAAATCGCTCCATCAGTTTTTAACACTGCAAAAAACTTCTAAAAGCATCGGGGATGCCCTAATGAACATTGGGATGTTTTAAGGTTATAGTGGTGGATCACTCTAATTGCTCTCACATTTGTCCAATCGCTCAGTTTCTATAACTGGCAACGAACGTAGATTCGAGGGGTAACTAACTGTACGACAGTTTATAACGGTGGATCACTCTAATTGCTCTCACGTTCGTCTAATCACTAAGTTTCTACAACCCTTCAGAAGAGGATCGGGATAGTAGATTCTATAATCTCTCTAATTACTATTTGAACATATATTCGAGGGGTAACTAACTGTACGCCAATTTATTTGAATCTCATCTTTTATGATTTTCTTGTAGATGTATTAAAAATTTGACTCATATTTCAAGCCAACCAGGCCCATGTAGGGATTGGGCCCCCCCTCTGTTATACTATGGATCATGGTCCACCTTGCTGGTCCTAAATTGTACTCCTTCGGTCCTATTTTATGTGTTGGTTCGATTAACGAGACTTGACTGAAGTTATTTTTAATTCAATTTTTTATAATATTAAGTTTAGTATTAGTATACAAAATTTATATATTTAGAAACTACTCTAAAAGTATTATTAGACACAAAATCAAATTTAAAAATAAGTAAAAAATACTAAAGAAAATAAACAAAGAATAAAGAGTTGGTTTGACCAAATAGTAAGAAGGATAGGTAAAATGAGACGGAGGGAATATATTTTTAGGAGTCCTACCACATGTACTTCTAAATTCTACTCCATGATGTGGCAAACAATGATGAGATACTTTTATCAAAAGTGTCTACATTAAGAATTTGTGAGAGTGAGTAGAAGTTGGGGTAAGAAATGTGAGTGCATTTAGTATTTTCCTATTTTTAGTATGGGAATTGTAAACTTTTAAAATATAAATTGTGTTTCTATATTTTGAAAATTTTTTAATACACAAAAGGTCATCACAAATTGAAAATTTTAAAATGGAAATTGTGAACATTTAGTATGTAAATTGTGTATCTTTGGACTCAAGTCCTCCTTCCACGGAATAATTTGCCCACGAATGTAGAATTTTAAAAAGATAATAATGATCTTAGAAGGCAATCAATTAGTGAAAAATGCTAAAAATAATAGATAATCAAATAAATCCCTAACAATATTTTCTCGATAAGCCAAACTTAGCGTCATTGCCTATTTCTTCACACGCATATCTAATCACGTTTAGGGGTAATTAAGAATTCCTCTCAGTATTTCTCATTTGGTTGATTATTAATGCATTTGTGTCTTCCTCTCATAAAGAATTCCTTAATTTAACTCTATATAGTCTTAGGTTGCTATGTTTACGGGGAAATTATTCTTAAACGTCGGCTTTAGAAAAGCATAAGTTTAACATTAAAATCAAAGACTAAAAAGTCAAGACTTGCTCAGAAAAAGCGCTCATCATGCCATACCATCGGACAAAAACAAATCTTTAATCATATGATCCATGCCTCATTACAACATAATTATGAAATTACTCTAGCTCTAAACCCTAAACCTAAATGCACGCATCACCGGATATCTTTTTGATTTATTTAGTTGAGAATCTTCACACACACACACACCCCAAAAAAAGGGGGCAAAATAAAATTAAAGTACCCAATTATTCGCTAAAAAATCTATAATTTATTAAGAAACATTAACTCAAATGGAAAGAATTTGAGATCGTGTATGTTTAAGTTCAAGAATTCGAACCTATATATATGTAACAACGTTTTGAGATGGGTATGAAGCAGTCTTAAATCTTAGGCCAATTGTCTCACTTAAAAAGAGGTGTTTACAATCCATTGTGTCCGATGGTGAAAACTCTGAGTACAAAAAAAAAAAAAAAAAAAGATATTATACACGTTATAATATTGTAAAGCATTATAAAAATTTTCGAGATAATATTGGGCTTAGCTTAGGAATTTAGGGAGAACGGCTTTTTATTCTAATGTATTGGGTTTGAGGGTTCTAACCCAATGACAATCATATATATACTTAATGATTATTATATCATACTAGTATTTGCGCCCGTGCGTTGCACGGAATGAATTTGTTAAAATATTTTAAAAATATTTAGATTGATATACAATTGTATAAATTATAACATCGAATATTATATAATATAATTGAAGAATTGAGTTGCACCGATTATGTTTTCTGATGTTATCAATGCTTGAATTCGAGTAAATAATTTCCTAATTAATAGCTAGCGTGTAGATATACGCATTCATTGTTACCACTCTAGAGATTTTATATATCAGTGTTTAGAATTTGTATTAATTGGGCTAATTAGCTCGTTGTCTAGCAACTCGGTTATATAAATTATTTATACGGAAGTTATATTTTATATGTAGATATATATAGCAATTTTGTCATTTTTGTATATATATATATAAAAAAAACATAATATCAATTGCTTGAATTATACATTATTGAAAATCTCTTTGTAGACAACATTGGTAGTAGTAACGAAATTTTATCCATCATCGTCTAGAGTTAAAACAATTAGACCATCAGGATGGGTGACTCGGGAAAAAGTCACATACAATTAACCGTGATTAAAGATAATTTTTCAGTAATAGCTCAACTTGAGTTAGTGTTTGACCCTGACTTTTGTTGATAGTCATGGCATATGCGAACATCAACGTGAATTGTTTTTGTTAGAACTTGAAGGGCAATCTCATATCAGAAGGGTGAAAGACATTTTAATTGAAGATTTTACTTTTATTAATACTATAGATATAAATTGGTGTAAATAATAATTAATAAAGTATTATTTCCTCATAAAATTACATAGAATTTCAAATGGATTTTCTCATTTATTACGCAGAATTTGTTTATGTTATTCTCACAATTATAATGATTTAATTATTCTCAGAATTTGATAACTATTTTCCATTTTTAAGTACACATTAACTTTAATTAGTGATAAAAAATCATTAGATATTAGTTAATTTTTATATAAAATTTTGTTATCAATTAAGCTTTATTGATTTTTTTTACAAATTAATTAAAACTCATATTAATTTGGGCGGGAATGTTGAAGATGAGGATTTTACTTTTATTAATAGTATAAATTGATGTAAATAATAATTAATAAATTATTATTTCTCTATAAAATTACGTAGAATTTCAAACGAATTTTCTCATTTGTTACGCAGAATTTGTATTCATTATTTTCACAATTATAATAATTTAATTATTCTCAAAATTTGGTAACCATTTTCCATTTTTATGTACATAGTGACTTTAATCTTTGGTAACAATTCATTATATATTAGTTAATTTTCATATAAATTTTTTATGTGTTATTTGTTTAAACTTATTCGTCACTCCAATATTATTGTTCATGCAACTGATTTAGTAACTTTCACAATAAATTTCACATTGGTATTTAATTGGTATTTAATACCTTAAATTGATGTAATTTCATTTAGGCGGGAAACTGATGTAGCAAAAAACATTTTGCTATTATATAGAGTAATAAGATAAGATAAGATTTGAAATAAAAATAGAAAAAATAAAAAGATGTTAAAAATGTACAATATAATAATATAGTTAGACTTTTATATATTTGGTCAAGTATCTATTTTCATAACATACAAAATTAAAATTTAAATTTTGTATGGTTAATATAATATCTAATCATTTATATATTTAGATAAATTTATAGAAAAAATTCATATAATTAAGTTGATTTATTCCAAATTGTATTTCATATATATTATAATTCTAAAAATATGAATAATAATAACTAAGACAATTGTACTTAGAAATTAATAAAAAATATAAATTCTAAATTTTGTATGAATAAATAAAAACTCTAATCGAATGCATATCCTTATATGATTGTATAATACATTGTATATACACATAATATTTATTAATATGTATATAGGAAAATTCATAATTATATATAATTTCATTAATTATAATTTATATTGATAGGTTTATACTTTAAAAATTTATATTTAGAAATTTAAAAAGTGTATGTATGTATGTATGTAGAAATTTATATTTTTTGGCACAATATATATATTTCGTGTTTATATAGTATATTTTTTGGTATCAAACATTTGAATGGCATTTTGTAATTTGAATGGTAATATACAGTGGGGAAATGGTAATATACGGGGGAAAATGTCAACATACAAATGGTAATTCTTTAATTACTATACTAATTTTAATGGTAATTCATTAATTAATTACTATATTTCTC